GGGGATCGATCCCCAGGGTGGGGGGATCGATCCCCCAGGACTTAGCAACATTACAGTTTTTATTTAATTTTTGGGCTCATTTTGGGAACTGTTGGGCTTTAATGAGATTGTTACTTAAGGCCCAATGAGCCATTAGATTAGGGTTAGTTTTATTTTTTTTTTAGGTAAAGATTATTAGAGAAAGAAAAAAGAGTTTTATTATTATTATTTTTCTGTATCGTAGTATCGTATTTTCTCTCTGGAAAAACACGCGAAGAAAGGGAAAAAGAAGAACAGGCTAGGGTTTGGAAGAAAAGTTCAGAGAAGATGAAGTAGATGATGGGGATTGTCCTGTCTTCGACTCCATCAACCATGAGTGGCTGATTCTTCTACTTAGGGTTGGATAAACCCTAAGCATGTAACCTATTCTCTCTCTCTTTTCATACTTTTTGGGGATTAATTTATGTAATTAGTGTATAGTCTTGAATATTATGAATTAAATTCTTCCAATTGATTATCTGTATTAATCTCATATTGTCTTATGGGTGGTTGATTGATAAACAAATTTTACACATGAATTCTTTGTTAATTGATTCTTGTGATGGCTATGCATGGTATTGCTTAGTTGTAATTGTGTTTCAAATTGATGAAAAATGCTTCCATTTGATGGATGGTACTACATGTTTAGGTTAATTTGTTGTCTAATTAGTTTTAAATTCATGTTTAATTAGTTTAATTTAAGTTTAATTAATTTAATTGCAATTCAATTATTAGGTAAGTAGACCATCCATACTTATGTTTGAATTCCATACTTTTTGTCACAATTGGATTATCTTCTAGATTAATGTGTGTTAAATTTGAAACTTGGATTGATAAATCATGCTTTGAATGGGTGAATTGCACTACACTTAGTTTAATTGTCATTAGGTAGTTGATTCATGCTTGAAATTGATGGTTTACACTTTTCATTGCACTTGTTAGCCACATATAGATTACATAGTATTATTTCCCCAATTAGTTGAAAGTGAGTGAGTTAGGGAATGTGCTTAGTGGTGAATCCTACACCCTAAGTCTCTTTCCAATCTCTTAAACTCTATTTCTTTATTGCAATCATTTAGTTTAAAATTAGTTTTAATCACAAACAAAACCCTTTTGGCAATCACATAAGCATTAAAGTAGAATTCAATTCTGGAAAACCTATAATTGTTTAGATCTCTTGGGACGATCCCTGCTCACTTCATACTCCATAGTATAAGTGTTTCGTGGTTTTATAAATTTTAAAATATGGTGCCCACTTGACATTATTTCTAAACCTAAAATGTTGTGCATTATTTTGTGCACACGCTCGGTCGCACCATAGTTTTGGCGCCGTTGCCGAGGATCTAACGGTTTTGAAGAATTGAATTAAACATTAGTTCTTTGTTGATTGTCTACTTTTAAGTCATTTTAATTTTTAATTTTTTTTTTTATTTGATTTGTCAATTAGGTACTTGAAGCAAAGTGGAGCAAACGCTGGACTTAGAAGCAATTAAAAAAAAAAAATGAAGTTGCTTAAGGACCATCTGTAAGTTCTCTTTAATTTTAGTACTTTAATTGTATACCAATTTGCATGCTTTGGACAGCCCAAGTGGAGGCTTAAATTGAATTGTTTTATTTTTAAGTCCAAGCATACCTTCTTGTAGAAGGCATCGGCCCGTGTGGAGGCACTTATTTGTGTTAAGTGCATTGATATTATTGAGGAGTTTGGGAACATCGTATGTGGAGGTTGAAATTTTGAAATGTTGGTGTGTTGACTTGTTCTAGTGCATGCATGGTCGTAGATCACTTAATCGTCCTCTTGCTCCTGTAAATCAAAATCTCGAAATTTTTCTTCGGCATTTAAGAAGTAGTACTAGGGATAGTCATCTTAATCTTTCAAATTTTGATCTTCCATCACCTTTAATGGAAGATCCAATTGAAGATCCCATTGTAGATCTTGGTCATGTGGATCATAATGGTGTGCACCACCCACCACAAGTTCATATTGTGGATCCTCAAGGTGTGCATCCACCCTTGGGAATGCCACAACCAGTTAATCATGCGGTGCAACAACCTAATCTAGGGATGCCAAGGCCAAATGTTATTCTCCCAATTGGTGAGCAACAACAACAATATGTTCAAATGGCATACCCTCAACAAGGTCAAATGCCATATCCTCCTCTCAATCCTCTCAATCCTCCAATGGTCCTTAGGGATCGTTACACTCCAAATCAATATAATGCACCCACTTGCATTCAATTGCCAAATTTTCGTGCTCATCATTATGAGATTAAGGCTTCCACCATTAACATGTGCCCCCTTTTCTATGGGTTGAGCAATGAAGAGCCTTATAAACATTTAGATGAGTTCTTGGAAGTTTGTTCCACCGTGAAAATCACGGATGTTCCAGAAGAAGTCCTAAAAATGAAGCTTTTCCCTTTCACTCTTCGGGATAAAGCTAAATATTGGTTCAACAACTTGCGGCCAAATACAATCACCTCTTGGGCACAATTGCAACAAGAGTTCTTAAAAAAGTATTACCCTGCAAGTCGAACTGATGCCATGAGAACTTCCATTCGTGAATTTAAACAACAAGAAGGAGAACCCCTTCATGAAGCATGGGAACGTTTGAATGACTTGCTACGGAAGTGTCCACATCATGACATTCCTAAGTAGCAATTAGTTCAATGTTTCTTTTCAAGTTATCCGATGCCAATAAGGGCATTGTTGATGCTTCTTGTGGCGGAAGCTACATTGAAAGAAATGAAGATGAAATTTGGCAACTTTTCGAAAAAATGAGTGAAAACTCAATGCATAGATCTTCATCTTCTAGGGGTAGTCACCTAGCACATATGGGAGGAAAGAAAGCTATAAATCAAATAGACTCTTCCATGGAAATTGCCGCTGAGGTCAAAAATCTTACTCAAAGGTTTGATACATTCCTTTTGAATCAAGGTCCGGTAACTCAATCATATCCTCACCATTCCAATGAAATGTGCATGACTTATTCTAGTTACACTCACCATACTTCAAATTGCCCTCTTGGACAAATTATACCAAGTGAGTCTTAAGAACAAGCAAATGCTGCTTTCATTCATCAAGGGAACAACCCTTATTCCAATACTTACAATCCGGGGTGGAAAAATCATCCAAACTTTGCATGGAGAAATCAAGGAGACAGTGCAAACCCTCCTCAAACTCAAGGTTACCAAGCAAAGTATGTTCCCCCACATCTCCAAAATCAAAATTAGAATTCTCAAGGTTACCGTCCTTCATTTTATCCTCAAAATGTGAATCAATATTCTCATCCTCAAGCATCAAATTCTCAATCTTACTCTAATCCAAATCAAGCGCCTCCTAAGAGTTCCGCTTTTGAGGACAAAGTCTTGCAAGCTTTAGGTAATCTTCAAAAAGATAATCAACTGTTTCATTCTCACTCTCAATCAATTGCAAAGCTTGAAGCTCAAATTGGGCAATTAGCTAATTCTTTAAATGTGAGAGAGAAAGGTAAGTTGCCCAGTCAAACTGAGACCAATCCTAAAGGGCAATTTATGGCGCAAGCAAGTCCTTCATCAGAATTTTCTGGAAATGAGCAAGTTCAAGCAATTACTACCTTGAGGAGTGGTAGGAAAGTGGATAATAAGGTAGAGGTACCTAAGGAGGATAATGAATTGGCACAACCAAGTGGTTGCATCCATTCCATTCCAAATTCTATTCCAATTTCCTTGGATGCTAGTGGTTCCAAAAAGGACATTCCATCATCTTCATCATCATCTCCCCAATTAGAGAAGCCTTATGAGCCAAAAGCTCCATTTCCTCAAGCTTTGAGAGAGACTTCATCATTTGGGAGACAAGAAGGAAAAATTCATGATATGATGGAAGTGTTTAAACAAGTGAAAATCAATCTTCCTCTTCTAGATGCAATTAGGAAAATTCCACCATATGCAAAGTTCTTGAAGGACTTGTGCACACAAAAGAAGAAGAGCAAGGGAAGGGACCTTAAGAAAGTGCTTTTAACAGAACAAGTGAGTTCCATCATTCTTTCTAACACTCCTCCTAAGTTCAAGGATCCGAGTGCTCCGACTATTTCTTGTGTTATTGGAAACCAAGAGGTTCGTAGAGCTCTCCTTGATTTAGGTGCAAGTATCAATCTCATTCCATACTCTGTTTACTTGCAATTAGGATTAGGGGACTTGAAGCCAACATCGGTAGTCATCCAACTAGCCGATAGATCAATTAAAAAACTAAGGGGAATTGTTGAGGACATTCTAATTAAGGTTGATAAATTTTATTTCCCGGTTGATTTTGTGGTACTAGATACTGAGCCAGTCCCTAATCTCACCAATCACATTCCAGTCATCCTAGGAAGGCCATTCCTTGCCACTGCCAATGCCACCATTAATTGTAGATCTGGCATTATGGATATCTCATTTGGCAACATGATGGTTAAGCTTAATGTATTCAATGCGAGTCAACATCCCACAGATGAAGACGAGTGTTTCCTAGTGGATGTCTTGGATGAAACCATAGAGGAGACTCTTCCCTCTATTCTATCTAAGGACCCTCTTGAGGCGTGCGTTTGTGAAATGTTTTAAAGTTGTGGTTTTGACACAGAAGGATCCATAAGTGAGGTGAATGCTTTGATGGACTCTATGGCCACTTTGGATTACCCACCTTGGAAAAGCAAGAAAGAACCTCTTCCTTCACTCTCTAGTACTCCACCAGTTCCATCTCTCATCTCTCCCCCTATTCTTGAGCTTAAGCCTCTTCCATCAAATCTGAAATACGCCTTCTTAGGCCCAAAAGAGACTCTTCCGGTCATCATTGCTTCCAATCTTGAAAATGACCAAGAGAATGATCTTTTGGAAGTGCTTAAAGCTAACAAAGAAGCCATTGGATGGAGTGTGGCTGACCTAAAAGGCATTGACCCTTCTATTTGTATGCATCGCATACACATGGAAGAGGATGAAAGGCCATTTAGGGATGCTCAAAGGAGATTGAACCCAAATATGAAGGAAGTTGTCATGAAGGAGGTTGTGAAACTTCTAGATGCAGGAATCATTTATCCTATCTCTGATTCCAAATGGGTTAGTCCAACTCAAGTGGTTCCTAAAAAGTCGGGAATTACAGTTGTTGAAAATGCTAAGGGTGATCTTATTTCGAAACGCACCGCCACTTCATGGCGTGTTTGTATAGATTACCGAAAGCTGAATTCTGCCACTAGGAAGGACCATTTTCCATTGCCTTTCATTGACCAAATCTTGGAAAGATTGGCTGGGCAACAATACTATTGCTTCCTAGATGGTTACTCGGGGTACAATCAAGTGGCCTTGAATCCATTGGATCAAGAAAAGACCACATTCACATGTCCTTTTAGTACATTTGCTTATCGACGGATGCCTTTCGGATTGTGCAATGCTCCTGCCACTTTCCAAAGGTGTATGATGTCAATTTTTTCGGACATGGTGGAGAAGTATTTAGAAGTCTTCATGGATGACTTCTCGATTTTTGGGCCCTCATTTGATTCGTGTCTCCAAAATCTTAAAAAAGTGCTTCAAAGATGTCGTGAGACTAATCTTGTGTTAAGTTGGGAAAAGAGCCATTTCATGGTTCAAGAAGGAATCGTGCTTGGACATGTCATCTCTAAAAGAGGAATAGAAGTAGATAGAGCGAAAGTTGAACTAATTTCTGAATTGTCTCCACCTACGACGGTGAGAGAAATCCGCTCCTTTCTAGGACATGCCGGTTTTTATCGCCGATTCATCAAAGACTTTAGCAAAATTGCTAGACCCTTGTGTAACCTTCTTGCCAAGGAGACTCCATTTGTCTTTGATGAAGCATGCCTAAATGTTTTTCATCAACTTCGCACTCTTCTATCATCCGCTCCTATCATGCAACCTCCAAATTGGTCCTTACCATTTGAGATTATGTGTGATGCTTCCGACTTCGTAATGGGTGCTGTTTTAGGGCAAAGGGTAGGTAAACTACCATATGCTATATACTATGCGAGTAAGACTTTCTCAGGTGCCCAATAGAACTATTCTACCACCGAGAAAGAGTTACTTGCCGTAGTATATGCCCTTGATAAATTTCGGTCATATCTCTTAGGATCCAAGGTAATTGTGTTTTCCGATCATGCCGCTCTTAGGCATCTTTTAATGAAAAAGGAAACCAAACCTCGCTTGATAAGATGGATTCTACTTCTTCAAGAATTTGACTTTGAAATCAAGGATAAAAAGGGCTCCGACAATGTCGTTGCCGATCATCTGTCTAGATTAATGGTTGAATCTTCTCCAAATCTTGAAATTCATGAATCATTTCCGGATGAACAACTCTTTCAAATCTCAAATGGGACGTTGCCTTGGTTCGCCGACATTGTTAACTATCTTGCAACCAGCAAACTTCCCATTAATTGGTCAAAACAAGAAAAGGACCGATTCTTTGCTAACATCCAGAAATACTATTGGGAAGATCCCATTCTGTTTCGTTATTGCCCGGATCAAATCATCAGGAGATGTGTGCCAGAAAGTGAAGTTCCGAGCATCCTTGCGTTTTGTCACACACTTGCTTGTGGTGGGCATTTTAGTGGAAAAAAGACCGCTTTGAAGGTTCTTCAAAGTGGGCTCTTCTGGCCCACTATCCACCGAGATGCCTATAACTTTTGTAAGGTGTGTGTTCGGTGTCAAAAGTTGGGATCAATGTCAAAGAGAGACATGATGCCCTTAACTTCAATCTTTGTAGTTGAAATCTTCGATGTATGGGGCATAGACTTTATGGGACCATTCCCAATGTCTTATGGCTTTCAATATATCCTCGTTGCCGTTGATTATGTTTCAAAGTGGGTTGAGGCTTGTGCTACCAAAACGAATGACCACTACGTGGTAATTGCATTCGTTAAATCAAATATCTTTACTCGTTTTGGTATGCCAAGGGCTATGATAAGTGATGGAGGAAAACATTTCTGTAATCAATTCTTGAAGCAACTTTTCTTGAAATACTCCGTCACACATAAAGTGGCCACTCCCTACCATCCCCAAACAAGTGGGCAAGTCGAGGTGTCAAATAGGGAAATCAAGTATATTCTTGAGAAAACTGTCAATCCGACCCGAAAAGATTGGTCAAGAAAATTGAACGATGCTTTGTGGGCTTACCGGACAGCTTACAAGACTCCAATAGGCATGTCTCCATATAGACTTGTTTATGGTAAGCCTTGTCATCTTTCGGTCGAGCTAGAACACAAAGCACTTTGGGCAATAAAAAGGCTCAACTTTGATCTTGATAAGGCTGGAAATGACCGTTTACTCCAACTCAATGAGCTAGAGGAATTGAGAAATGATGCCTATGATAGTTCAAAAATTTACAAGGCAAGGACAAAAGCATTTCATGATAAACATATTGTGAAAAAGTCCTTTGAAGCCGGTCAAAAGGCTTGGTTATTCAACTCTAGGCTCAAATTTTTCCCTGGAAAGCTTCGAACCAAATGGGAAGGCCCTTATCAAATTATCTCCGTCTCACCTCATGGGGCGGTTGAACTTAAAAATCTAAAAGATGAAGGGACCTTCAAAGTTAATGGTCAAAGGCTTAAACCATACATTGATGGACAAAATTTTCAAAGAAATGTGGAATCTGCCCTCTTGGTAGATCCCATTTACTTTGAAGATTGAGAACATCTCACGTCTTTCTAGCGACGTTAAACACTAGTTGTATCGAGTTTCTCCTTCGTTGCATTTTAATTTCCATTTTATTATTATTTTATTTTTATTTTTCCTTTTGTACATTTATGCATTTTTAAATTTAAAAAAATTTAAAAAAAATTGTAAATGAGTAATGTAGGTTGGTGTTTGATTTTATTTCTATTTTATTATTATTATTTTTATTATTTTTGTATATATTTCATGTTAGTTTTGATTTATTCAAAAACATAATAAAAAAAAAAAATTTTGAAAAAAGTATTAATTAGTATAGGTTGATAAGTGATTTTATTTCAATTTTATTTATTATTATTATTTTTTTTTATTTTTTATCTATTTTTCATTTTAGTGTATATATTCTTTTTAGTTTAGTTTTGTTTTATTTATTTATTTATTTATTTTTGTTAAAAAAAAATTTGAAAAATTGAAAAAAGGAAAAAAGAAAGATCGATCCCCAAAATGGATAGGAGATCGATCCCATTTTCTTGGCAGAGAGCAACACAAAAATAGGCCAAGTGGATTGATCCCCCGTCCAAAGGGATCGATCCCATTTTACTTATGTTTCTCCCTTCTCATTAAACAGTGAAGCGGACATTTTTTGCCTAAAATTATCGATCCCCCATCAAAGCAGATCGATCGCACCTTATTCCTTGAAACCACCAATACATTCCTCTCTTCTGTTGCTTGAAATTCTGCTTCTTCCCCCAACAATCTCTAAACCCAATTTCATTGTCCAACCCTCATGGTTCGCTCTTCTCTTCTCTTGGCTGTTCATAGTTCTTCTCTGGCATCGAGGCTGAGTTTTTCCAGCGATTTAGGCTAGTGTTCTCCAGCGATCAAGGCTGTTTCGGCCTTTATTTTTCCGGCGTCAGATCTGGGTCACGGCTATTTCATATGCCGGCGAGACCCAGCAGCGGATTCGCAGCTGGGTTCATCTTTCCGGCGATCTGTTTCGTCATCCGATGACGCGGTTGTTCGTTGCTTTCCTGCGTCGCATCTGGGTTCGTCTTTCCGACGCCGTTTGCCGTTTTCTGGGTTCGTTAGCCGGTAATTCCGGCTGGTGGGTTCGCGGCTCGTTATTCTCCAGCGAGGTCGCGGCTGCATCGGCATCATATTCCAGCGATCTCGGCTTCATCGGCGTCCCTTTTCTTCCAGCGATCGCGGCTGGTTTACGGCTGCATCGGCGTCGTCTCTCAGGCGATTGCTGCTGGTTCGTCCAACGGCGTAGCGGCTGGGTTCTTCTCCGATCGCTGCTGGGTCGCTGTTCTCCGGCGAATGTCGGTTGCGTCTCGCCGGCGGCTTTTGATTAGGCTTTCTCCGGCGACCTCGTGTTAAAAAAAAAAAAATTTGGTGTTTGAGCCATTTTTCCGGCGTCGCAACTGGGTTCATTTTTCTGGCGTCGCGGGTTCGTTTCTCTCTGGCGAACAAGGCTGGTTCTTCTCCGGCCACGATTTCCGGCGGTTGGTTCTTCCAACAGCGGTCGCGGCTATTCATCTTCTCCGGCGAGCTTTTGGCTTCGCCGTTCCAATTGATACATAAATAAAAAAAAATTTTAAAAAATAAAAAAAAAAGAAAAAAAAGAAGAAAAGAGAAAATAAAATTAAAAAAAAAACAAAAAAAAATAAAAAAAATAAAAACATAACATAAAAATTTTAATAATTAAAAAGTATATATATATATATATTTATTTTATTTATTTATTTATTTATTTATTTATTTTATTTATTTATTTTTTTTTTTGAATTGATTTATTAAAAAAAAAGTAGATAAAAAAATAAAAAATAAAATAAAAAAGAGTAGCATTGATGTTTAAAAAAAAAAAAAAAAAGCTAAGTAGAATTTGTAGTAATGTTTTTAGTTATTTAATTCTTTATTTATTTTTGATAAAAATAATAACAATATTCAAATAAAATAAAATAAAATTTCAGTAACATTCTATCTTGCTAGAGACGTTAAACTTAGCCCATTTTTCTTATTTTATTTTGTTGGTTGTATATACATGTTCTTTTCCTTTGTTACAAAAAAAAAAAAAAAAAAAATTTGAATTGATTTATTTTAGTATATATTTATTTCTTTTTAGTTTAGTATATATTTTTTCTTTTTAGTTTAGAATATTTTTCTTTGTGTTAAAAAAAAAAAAAAACTGAGAGATCAATCCCATTCTTTAAATATATAAAAAAAAAAAAACATATCACAAAAATTTCAAAAATATGTGTCCCCGTTATGCCCTTCTGCTTAGTTATGCATGTTTTCATCTTTTACAAAGGGCTTGATATCATATCTCTTTACATCTTATTCTATATTGTTTTGGAATGTATGCTTTACTTATCCCATTTGATATTTGATGTGAGTTGCTAGTGTGGCTTTTCTAGTAGGTTTTTGCATCCAAGTTTGGGGGAGACCTCTTTCGTCATGGATCATTGCCGGGCGTCATTAACTTTTGCCATCACGGTATACTCTTTCCATTTCTTTCATTGTTCTCATTGCACATTGAGGACAATGTGCAGTTTAAGTTTGGGGGGTAAAGTAGCCTTGTTACATTCTACTTTAAGTTGAGTTTTAAATGCATGATTGAGATTTGAGATATATTTGGCAATGATTTTGAACTTTTGAAGCATAGTGCCTTTAAAAAACAAGTTGTTAGAGTCTAATACTTCTTGTATGCTCTAGGATGCCATTTAGGGGTAAATTTTAATTTTTGACATCATGTTTGCTTTTGTGGTACACATCATCTTGTTGGTTGAAAATGCTTTGAGAGTTAATTCTAGAATTCTACATTTGCACTTGCGCACACTAGCATTCAATTTGTGAGGTACATGCTTAGTTGATTATTGTCTTGGTTTGTTCCAATTGAGCTAGTATGCTTTGAAAGCTTTCATTCTTGATAAAATGACCTTGCAAAGAAAAGAAAGAAATAAATTAAAAAAAAAAAATTGCATTCTTTCAACATGTCTACTGATTAAAAAGGAAGACAAGGGAAGAATGTAAGATGTATGATTAGTTTGAGTTCGTAGCCTAGCCATTCCGAGTCATTACGCCCTTAGGAGTGTCTTTACACTTAACGCCCTAAGACCATCTGGTTTGGGAGTCGTTGGCTCAACGCTTGTTACATGGGGTGATTAGAGAGCTTAAGGAACTTGGACATTGCACATGGTCATATATAAAAATAAAAAATAAATAAAAAATGAAATCAATAAAAAAAAAAAAAAAAGAATGTTTGATTAAATAACAAGGTTCATTCAATGTCTTGATATCTGGTACTATATCTGCATGCTAGTTTGAGGGTAAGGCTATGCCATTACTTTGATTTGCTAGGATAGCAACACATTTTGATGTCGGTTCACTTAAAAGGATGATAGAATTGATTCAATTTGCATGATTAATTGATTGATGTGTGGAGGACCGTTTTTGCTTACATGATGTTGAAACGTTGATAATAGCTTAGAAATGGCAGAAATTTGCATACTTGAGGTAGTCTACTTTCAACACTTGTTTAATATGTGTCGTTACTTCTCAAGTAAGAAAGAGCTGTTGATGTTTGTGGGTACCATTTCTGTAAACCCTCACGAGACTTCACTCGTCCACTAGGGGTAACCTAGGGGTTTAAAAGGCTTGTTGCATATGCTAAATGCAACCGTGATCCCTACGAAAGTGGAGTTATCTTTATTTGTTTTATTAGTTCATAGTTGTATCTATGTTTATTTCATTTCCATACTGTAGTTCATTGCTAGGGACTAGCAATATCTAAGTTTGGGGGCGTGATAAGTGCTTAAATGTTGCACATTTCAGCATCTAAGCTAAGGTATTTTAGTCTTTGCATCTATCTTAATTTTATGTTTTAGTCATAATTTATGTTTATGTGTATTTCAGGGTAATAAAGTTAAAATGAGCTAAGAACGGTCCAATTAAGCCTTTTTGGAGTTAAGCAAAGATTTTCAGACAATGGCACAAAGCGGTCAATTTCGGGGCTTTGATGATGTTCCCAAAGATAGAGAAGCAAACCAAATAGCCCGGGGCAAAAATGGAGCTGAATAAGGCTTAAAGGAATTTGTCAACTCTGGGGGGATCGATCCCCAGGGTGGGGAGATCGATCCCCCAGGACTTAGCAACATTACAGTTTTTATTTAATTTTTGGGCTCATTTTGGGAACTGTTGGGCTTTAATGAGATTGTTACTTAAGGCCCAGTGAGCCATTAGATTAGGGTTAGTTTTAGTTTTTATTTAGGTAAAGATTATTAGAGAAAGAAAAAAGATTTTTATTATTATTATTTTTCTGTATCGTAGTATCGTATTTTCTCTCTGGAAAAACACGCGAAGAAAGGGAAAAAGAAGAACAGGCTAGGGTTTGGAAGAAAAGTTCAGAGAAGATAAAGCAGATGATGGGGATTGTCCTGTCTTCGACTCCATCAACCATGAGTGGCTGATTCTTCTACTTAGGGTTGGATAAACCCTAAGCATGTAACCTATTCTCTCTCTCTTTTCATACTTTTTGGGGATTAATTTATGTAATTAGTGTATAGTCTTGAATATTATGAATTAAATTCTTCCAATTGATTATCTGTATTAATCTCATATTGTCTTATGTGTGGTTGATTGATAAACAAATTTTACACATGAATTCTTTGTTAATTGATTCTTGTGATGGCTATGCATGGTATTGCTTAGTTGTAATTGTGTTTCAAATTGATGAAAAATGCTTCCATTTGATGGATGGTACTACATGTTTAGGTTAATTTGTTGTCTAATTAGTTTTAAATTCATGTTTAATTAGTTTAATTTAAGTTTAATTAATTTAATTGCAATTCAATTATTAGGTAAGTAGACCATCCATACTTATGTTTGAATTCCATACTTTTTGTCACAATTGCATTATCTTCTAGATTAATGTGTGTTAAATTTGAAACTTGGATTGATAAATCATGCTTTGAATGGGTGAATTGCACTACACTTAGTTTAATTGTCATTAGGTAGTTGATTCATGCTTGAAATTGATGGTTTACACTTTTCATTGCACTTGTTAGCCACATATAGATTACATAGTATTATTTCCCTAATTAGTTGAAAGTGAGTGAGTTAGGGAATGTGCTTAGTGGTGAATCCTACACCCTAAGTCTCTTTCCAATCTCTTAAACTCTATTTCTTTATTGCAATCATTTAGTTTAAAATTAGTTTTAATCACAAACAAAACCCTTTTGGCAATCACATAAGCATTAAAGTAGAATTCAATTCTGGAAAACCTATAATTGTTTAGATCTCTTGGGACGATCCCTGCTCACTTCATACTCCATAGTATAAGTGTTTCGTGGTTTTATAAATTTTAAAATATGGTGCCCACTTGACATTATTTCTAAACCTAAAATGTTGTGCATTATTTTGTGCACACGCTCGGTCGCACCACTTATGCAAAACACATTCATTTTCCTTTTTCAAAAGTTCATTTTTAGTTTCAATCTTTTCAAGCTTTTGAAGAAGAATGTGGCATTTCAAAAGCATTTTTCCTAACTCATCATGAATCTCTTTAAAAGCATTTTGCAATTCATTATGCTCATCAACTAATTCATTGTAAGAAATATCATCATCACATAATGATTTTAGATTAGAGTTTACCTTTTCTTTGAAGGCCATGAAACACAAAGCATCATCTTCGTGATTTTTAATTTCCATTTTGATGGCACTTACTTCTTTGCTAGAAGCTTGAAGAGCTATACTCTTCTCTTGAGTTACTCCATCTTTTTCACTATAAGCGTATGAGTGAGTTCTATCAAGAGCATTCAAATGGTTAGAGATGTTAATTGAAGAAGAATGCATTTCATGAAATAATACATTGTCTTTTATACTAAAAAAATCATACTCATTGAGGTGCATATTTGATTCCTTAACTTGACATATACCTTCATACGTTAATTCAAGTAAGTTCCAAATATCTTTAGCCGTTTTACAAAAGACAATTTTATTGAACTCATTTC